TTAGATGCTTCAGCAAAGAAACAGTACTGACAGCAGATAAGCACATTAAAAGATGCTCATTTAGTGACTTCATTAGTCATTAGGGAAATGCAAAGTAAAATTACAATGAAATACCATTTATGTAATAGAATTATCTCACACTGTTCCAAGTGTTGATGAGAATGTAGAGCAGAGGGAACTTTAATATAGTGTAGGTGGGAATGAAAAGTTCTATAGCTACTTTGGAAAAGAATTTGGCACTTTCTTAAAAAGATATATTTATTGAAAGACTCAACCAAACCATTTTCTAGGTATTTACCCAAGAGAAGTAAACATGTCCACAGGAAGACTTGTACTTAAAGGTTCATTACAGCTTTATTTATAACAAGTCATGGAAACAATCCAAATATATGTCCACTGGTGACTAGGTAAATTTTGATAGAGCCATAAGATGGAATACTAAACAACAATAAAAATTAATTGCTTATGCACACAATATGAATGAATCTCAGAAGCATTATGTCAAATGAAAGAAGCCAGACATAAAATAATATATACTGTACAATCCCATTTGTGTGAAATTGTTAAGCAGGAAAACTCTAGTGACAGGAAGTAGATCAGAGGTTGCCAGGGGCTATAAATGGAGAAGGGGATTCACTGTAAGGGGTGGGAGGGAACTTTCTTGGGTAGTAAATATTTCTTTTTTTTTCCAGCTTTACTGAACTAAAGTTGACATAAAACACTGTGTAAGTTTAAAGTGTCCAATCTGTTGATTTGATACAGTTACATATTGCAAATGATGACCACAGTAATGTTAGTTAATACTTCCTTCACCTCACATCATTGCCATTTTTTTTTCTTTTCCATATTTTTGATGACACCTTTTTTTTTGGTATCATTAATCTACAATTACATGAGGAACATTATATTTACTAGACTTCCCCCCACAAACCCCATTACAGTCATTGTCCATCAGCATAGTAAGATGCTGTAGAATCACTACTTGTCTTCTCTGTGTTGTACAGCCCTCCCTGTGCCCCCCTCCCACCCACATTATACATGCTAATCGTAATGCCCCCTTTCTTTTTCCCCACCCTTATCCCTCCCTTCCCACCCATCATCCCCAGACCCTTTCCCTTTGGTAACTGTTAGTCCATTCTTGGGTTCTGTGCTTCTGCTGCTGGACCTCATTTGTTCTTCTTTTTCAGTTTCAATAATTGTGACTTTAGACTATCATTTGGGATTGTTCTTCCTTCTTTAAATAGGCCTTGATTGCTATATACTTTCCTCTTAGAACTGCCTTCGCAGCATCCCACAGAAGTTGGGGCTTTGTGCTGTTGTTGTCATTTGTCTCTATATATTGCTTGATCTCTGTTTTCATTTGATCATTGATCCATTGATTATTTGGGAACATGTTGTTAAGCCTCCATGTGTTTGTGAGCCTTTTTGTTTCTTTGTTTCTAGTTTTATGCCTTTGTGGTCTGAGAAGTTGGTTGGTAGAATTTCAATCTTTTTGAATTTACTGAGGCTCTTTTTGTGGCCTAGTATGTGGTCTATTCTGGAAAATTTTCCATGTGCACTTGAGAAGAATGTGTATCCTGCTGCTTTTGGGTGTTGAGTTCTGTAGATGTCTGTTAAGTACATCTGTTCTAGTGTGTTGTTCAGTGCCTCTGTGTCCTTACTTATTTTCTGTCTGGTGGATCTGTCCTTTGGAATGAGTGGTGTGTTGAAGTCTCCTAGAATGAATGCATTGCATTCTATTTCCTCCTTTAATTCTGTTAGTATTTGTTTCACATACGTTGGTGCTCCTGTATTGGGTGCATATATATTTATAATGGTTGTATCCTCTTTTTGGACTGACCCGTTTATCATTATGTAATGTCCTTCTTTATCTCTTGTTACTTTCTTTGTTTTGAAGTCTATTTTGTCTTACACAAGTAATGCAACTCCTGCTTTTTTCTCCCTATTGTTTGTGTGAAATATCTTTTTCCATCCTTTGGCTTTTAGTCTGTGTATGTCTTTGGGTTTGGGTTTGAGTTTCTTGTAAGCAACATATAGATGGATCTTGCTTTTTTATCCATTCTGTTACTCTGTGTCTTTTGATTGGTTCATTCAGTCCATTTACATTTAGGGTGATTACTGAAAGATATGTACTTATTGCCATTGCAGGCTTTAGATTTGTGGTTACCAAAAATTCAAGGGTAGCTTCTTTACTATCTTACCATCTAACTTAACTGGCTTATTAAGCTATTATAAACAGTCTGATGATTTTTTATTTCTCTCCCTTCTTATTCCTCCTCCTCCATTCTTTATATGTTGGTTGTTTTATTCTGTGCTCTTTTGTGTTCCCTTTGACTGCTTTTGTGAAGAGATTATTTTATTTTTTGCCTCTAGTTAGTATTTGGTTGGTCTGCTTTCTTTGGTGTGATATTACTTTCTCTGGTGACATCTATTTAGCCTTAGGAGTGCTTCCATCTAGAGCAGTCCCTTTAAAATATCCTGTAGAGGTGGTTTATGGGAGGCTAATTCCCTCAACTTTTGCTTGTCTGGGAATTGTTTAATCCCTCCTGCATATTTAAATGATAATTGTGCTGGATACAGTATTCTTGGTTCAAAGCCCTTCTGTTTCAGTGCAGTAACTGTATCATGCCATTCTCTTCTGCCTTTAAGATTTCTGTTGAGAAGTCTGATGATAGCCTGATGAGTTTTCCTTTGTAGGTGATTTTATTTCTCTCTCTGGCTGCCTTTAATACTCTGTCCTTGTCTTTGATCTTTGCCATTTTAATTATTATATGTCATGGTGTTGTCCTCCTTGGGTCCCTTGTGTTGGGAGATATGTGGCCTTCCATGGTCTGAGAGACTATTTCCTTCCCCAATTTGGGGAAGTTTTCAGCAATTATTTCTTCAAAGACACTTTCTCTTTTCCTCTCTCTTCTTATGGTACCCCTATAGTGCGAATATTGTTCCGTTTGGATTGGTCACACAGTTCTCTTAATATTCTTTCATTCCTGGAAATCCTTTTATCTCTCTCTGCCTCAGCTTCTCTGTATTCCTGTTGTCTGATTTATTCCATTAATGGTCTCTTGCACCTCATCTAGTCTGCTCTTACGTCCTTCCAGAGGTTGTTTTATTTCTGTAATCTCCCTCCTGACTTCATCCCTTAGCTCTTGCATATTTCTCTGCAGGTTCATCAGCATGGTCACAATCTTTATTTTGAATTCTTTTTCAGGAAGATTGGTTATATCTGTCTCCCCAGACCCTCTCTCGGGGGTTGTCTGGGTAATTCTGGACTGGACCAAATTCTTCTGCCTTTTCATGGCGATAGAGGTAGTCATAAGCAGGTGGCGTGTGTGTCAGCTGGGAGAAAAAGTCCCTTCCTGCTTGCTGGTCGCCTTGCCCTTCTCCGTTGCCTGTGTCGGTTACCCGCACATCGAGAGCAGCCTCCAGGTTAATTTCCTGAGCTGCTGCGGGCGGGGCAGCTGTCGGGGTAGCCCAGCGCCTTGCGGGGAGTGGCACTTGTACCAGGTGCGCTCTCCTGCGAGATCAGGGCCCCTTTGCGCTCTGCTCCGGCTTCCTCCGCCTGCGCCTGGCAGCTGTGTGCCAGTGGCGGCCCCTGGGTCTGGCCCGGGTGGCTGCATGCTGGGAGGAGACTCCGGGTAGCTGCTGTGGGCGGGGCCGATGTCCGGCTGCTCGGCTGCTGTGGTGGGGCCGCGACAGAGGGGGGAGTGAACGGGAAGGGCTTCAGAGTTGTGTTGCTGCCCAGGGGGCTTGGGCACCTGAAGTTCCTTAGAATTTCCAGCCTGCTGGGCTGAGTGTGCCAGGATGATTCCATCCAGCTGTGAGGCCCCTGTCCCTTTAACACTTTCAAAAAGCACTTGCTTTTCTTTTGTCCCAGGGTAGCCAGCTGAGGGTATCCGCTCGCAGATTTTACTTTTCCATTTCCCTAATATTCAGCACACCATGCAATGTGTGTCTGCGCTCCCGGTGTGGATTTCTAGGGCTGGTTGTTTAGCAGTCCTGGGCTTCCACTCCCTCCCCAGTCGGACTCCTTTCCTCTCACCATTGAGCTGGTGTTGGGGGAGCACTCGGTTCCCGCCGGGCCACGGCTTGTATCTTACCTGCTTTGTAAGATGCTGAGTTCTTGCAGGTGTGGATGTAGCCTGGCTGTTGTACTGTATCCTCTGGTCTCTCTTTTAGGAATAGTTGTATTTGTTGTATTTTCAAAGATAGGTATGGTTTTGGTAGGAGATTTCCCCTGCCCTACTCACGCTGCCATCTGGCCTCCTTATTGCATTGTTACATTTTATAAAATATGAGGAACCTGGTATCGCTGGAGCCCTGGAGCTGTGAGATTGGTGAAATGGCAAGAATTGAAGCTGGACAGGTTAGCGGAGAGCTAAAAGGTGGAATGTTTCTCCAATTTGCTTATCAAACTTATATTGAAAGAGAAATTATGTTTTTGATGCAGAAACCCTCCTCCCTCTTGGATGAGAAATGAAAAGATCAATAAACCCTTTCATTTCCTTTGTTTTTGGCTTTTAAAAACAAACAAAAACAACAGAAGCCTTGCTTTTACAAATCAATTGTTTTAAAATAGTAATTCTCCCTGGATAGACCTCAGCTGAATTTGTATAACTAAGGCTGTACTTGAGCTTCCAAATGTTACAGGGAGGATATACATTTTAACGTGTGTGAAAGCTTTTAATACTAGCTATCAGGGAGAACTGCTGAGATTGGCTGGCTGTGGCTTGTGCTTTCAAGCAAATATCTTTGTAGCAACTGGGAGAAGAACAAAATCTCCCTCACATTACATTTTAGAAAGGAGAAAACCTGAAACTGCTTATTGGTTCAGCTTCATATATATGAAATTCTTGAGCGCCCTATTCTATCCTTGGAGTGATGCAGGAAAAGGTATGTATATGTATGTGATAGGAGCCAAGCACATAGGATTTTGATGAGTGAACAAGACAGCTGATTTTGAGGGCCTGCTGTAAAGTTGAATGCTTTCTTGTATATTCCAGGCAATGGATTTTGAAGGCTGGGCTGATACCTTCTTTCTTCTGCAGTTCATCCTCTCTTGTGTGATGGGGTAAGCCTTTGTTGGGTTGTTCACAGATAGTTTTCCCAGAGAAGTTTGTTCTAGAGTCCTTTTGCTTCATTCCTTGGTATCCTGTTCTATCTCTTGAATGTGTCAGCCTAGAATAATTAAATGTCCAGACTTAGATGGTTTCACAGCCCTTGGGAATGTTCCCTCAGGGCTACTAAACTGACCCCAAAGTCATGGTAAAGGGTGGAAAAGAAGCTACCATTTACCGAATAAACTAGTATGTGATAAGCACTATTATATTTCAACATGCACTATTTTATTTTATTTCTACATTGGCCATTTGAGAATTGTTTTTCTCTTACCTATAAGAAAGCAGGCTCAGAACTCAGTTGTCTTTTAAGTTTGCAGTTAGTAGGCAACAGTGGCAGCCTTTGGATTTGGGTCTTGTTTGTTCTGTCAGGTTGTCTTCCTCATAAAAGAGTATATGTAGAAAGCAAGAGAGTATCTTCTCTTTGTGTTCATATTTCCCTAATGCATTTTTCCCCCAAGCAGTCAGTTCAGTTGATTCTTGTGACTCGCTCTGACACTGGTGAGGTACATAGTCAGCAGGTGCTTCAAAATAAAGTTGGTACCTTAGGATTCAGTCAGGCCCAGGCGCCTCATTAGAGATCTGGGAATTCCAGCGGCTGCCTCTTAGTTGTCAGTGAGCCTCTATCCCCTCTTAAAGTCATTCTAATTTGACTTTCTTCCATCCTGAAGACCTTCTCTTGCCTTCACCCCAGTCCAGAGGTTATATTGTCCCGTGGGAGGTGCACCTGTGCCAGGGTCTGTGCATTCTGAGCTTCCTGCCTGGGCTAGGTGAATTAGTAGGAATATGATCTAAAAAGAGTACTCATGATTATGAATGATGGTTTCAAGCTTTTGGTGAGAGTAGCTGGGAAAAACACCTTGTCAGTAAATGGGCATGTGTTTCTACTTAATGAAATTTAAAAAATTCTGAAGCTGCAGTACAAGCAGCAGTGAGGTGGGGAACACTCGCAGTTAGTGACTAGAATGTGCCAGCGTAGCCAACACTGATTGTTTCATTTCTACAGATTATTTTAAAGTAAGGAACTGGCTCTTAAAAGATGCCTCTTCATTCCAGGTTTATCTTGATGTACGCCACAGTACTCTGCACTCAGTATAATTCTGCTCTAACAACTACAATAGTTGGCTGTATTAAGGTAAGTTGAAAAACCAGTGTTATCTTTTGGGTACCTGCTTTACTTGAAAATTGTTCCTCTAAAATAAATCTTGTTATGGTCTTAAGCCCCATAGTCCTTCTTTCCTCATGTATTGCCTTGGTAGTTGGACAGATTGTGGTGCTGGTTTCTGGAATAATCTTTAAGAACTCAGGGAGGATATTATCTCCACTTTCAGGCAGCTTAGCTGAGAGGAGTATGGGAAAAGGAGAATGTGGTACCTCCAAGTTGAGGAAGAATTAGTCCTGTTTCTGACAGGTCCAGTGATGACCTCAGCAGTGATAGGCCTGTCCCTTTAACCCCCAGTGAGAACTGTTCTGTTCTCTGTCTCACTGAGTTCTGGCTGTTTTGTAGGGAAGGGAGGCCTGCCAGAAACTAATCAAGGGAGTTTTCGTATGTGTGAGCCAAACCTTAAATGGCCCACTTTTGAAAGCTGTGTCTGACAGTTCCAGTGATGTCATTTCCTCCTGATCCATTTTATTGAGGGAGGCTATTGGTCTTCAGCCAGGAGAACCAAATTGACTTTCAGCTGGATATGCAGCTGAAATTAATGTCTTCAAGCTTGAGGCCTCTTTCATCTGACTTTGTGATTCTAGTGCTTTAAAGACCTAAGAGGCCACAATATGCCTGAATTCCAAATGATTTAACAAGACTGGCTGGCTTTCTAAAAAACTAAGACAGAGGCAGGTCCTCGATCATTTGGGAAAAAGGACGCAGTTGCCCTTGGAACTTCCTTTCTGGTGCCCATTTATCAGTAGTGATGGAAGGAGTTGCAGAAATAAAGGTTTTACTGCTCTGCTGTGTTTCCCTTTGTACCCCCAGTGGATGGTATCCACCTGACCTCATTTTAGAAACCAGATTTGGGTTAACTTCAGAAGGTCTATGACTTCAACGTGGATTTGGAGTGTGGGGTGTGAATGGGAATTCTAAGTTAGAGGGAGGGAAGCACCTAGATAATCTGGGTTACAGTTGCTGTTGCTTCTCACTGCTCTGTGGTCCTGCTGTTGAAGAATGTACTACACCTTCAGGCGATGGGAGTACGTGGACGCCCTTGCTGGTTCAGAGGCTCCTGGGCCAAGTGGAGCTTCTCCCATTAGCCTCCCAGTTTGAGGCCTTTGAGCTCAGTCATTGCTCCCTAAGGGCCTGAGAGCTTCCTTCTCTGCTTGAGGATCCTAACTCCATAAACTCTTGGGCCATCTCTTAGGTGTGCTGGGAAGATTACTTGGATAACTAGTTAAAAATGGAAGTTCTTAGGCCCACCTCAGATATACTGACTCAGAATCTCTAAAGGTTCTTAACAAGGTTTCCAGATGATTCTCAGGTATACTAATGATTGAGAATTGTAGTCTTAGTTTTAAGCTACCAGCATAGACTCTTCTGTGCTTCCTAGTTAAATTGGGAGCATTGGTGTCGTCTCCTGATAGCAGGCCTTGGTTAGGATGCCCTAATACATCTAGTTTTTCTCACTTCTATTGATTTTGAGCAACAACAACTGAGTTCTTTGTCCTTTGCTTTCTGAAGTTTCATGGGCAATTTATGCAAATTAATCTGCCTTCTCTCTGGATCTCTGTATTCTGAGGTCCTGTTACACATTTTCCCAAGTTGCCTACTGGCCTTGTTTACTGTTACATGGGATTTAATTATATTTTTCTCCTCAAATATGAAAATCTGCTCTCAGTCAAGGAACTAATATAATTTTGAATGCTCTCTCAAAAAACACTCCATTATAAAAATAATTTTGAAACTTGTGTCTGGCCTTTTAAAACTATGGCATTTTACTTTATGCTTCATAGGCCTAATTGAGGAGAACCCAGGTTCTAAAAATGTTTGTGACATGTACCATTTATGGCAGTTGTAATAGCAGTGAAGGAGGCAGAGTTAGGAATGTGAAAGAAAGGAGGTTAGGGAAGAATTGAAGAATAGTTTAAACTTTAGAAAATTTTATTTTGCCTTTGTGATCTGAGGATAAGTACAAGGAGCCAGGTAAGCAGAAGGTATTTACACCTCAGAGTTTAAGGGGGTCAGGAGAGGTGATTTTTAGATATGTTACTTTGAAATGACTTCCTATGTGTTGTTTAAAGATACCAAGGAAGATTCTTCTAAAAACAGTCTTCATATTGGTATACTTTCCACCATCCCCTTTTTCGTTTTCAAAAGCAGATTTTCCTTCTTCATGCTCCCCTCACAGGTCAACAGTTTTCTCAATAGGAGGAAAAACATCCTTTTCTAAGCTTGCTAAGTGTGCTTCGGTGTCTTCTACCCCTAGTAACATAACAGCAGGTTTCTCTGTTTAGATTTATAGTATCAGCTCATACCCTGGGGCAGGGAAAGTCTGATAATCTTGTTAATATCCCTCAATATTGGTGAAAGCATTTAAGCTTCCCAATAAAGATAGATTGGGAAGAGGCTAATATGAAAATTATTTTCTTATTGATGGTCTTGCTTTTACTACACTCATTTTAGGATTGGTGGGTTTTTGTTATTGTGTGTTTATTTGTTTTTTATTTTAAGCATAGGTATTTGGTTCATAGCATGAATGAGTTGATATGAATATTGAAAGGGTTCAGTTAAACCTATGTAATAGTATTTTCCATTTTTCTTTTTAGAATATATTAATAACTTATATTGGAATGGTCTTTGGTGGAGATTATATTTTCACATGGACAAACTTCATTGGCTTAAATATCAGGTAAGTAAAAATATTTAAATGTAGCCACTCTGAATGGTGTTACAGTAAGGTTTTGCTATTTAATGGCAAATGTCTTTATTTATTAAACATTCATGGAGTGTGTACAATGTACTATATATTTAATGTCTTTAGATAACGCTTTTTAAGTAAGGAGGATAATAGTTGCATATTTTATGCACAGTATTTAGGAAGTCTTTTATGGAAGTTCAACTCCTTTCACTTACCCTCCAGAGAACAGTCCTTTTATTTATTATGCTAGGTGGCAGAGCAGTGTTCTCAATAAAATTCAAGGCTAAAGAATATCAGCTCTGTTAGAATTGATTTTTATATATCTGACCTTGGACATATCACTGCATTTTAGACTTTATTTATCTTCATTAATGAGGGTGACTTACATGAAAGATCTTTTTCAGTTTGAGAATTTGGAAGTTTATGCTTGAAATACTATTTATGTGCTTAAAAACTGCCAAATTTGTATTTGGCCCAGACCTCTTTCCTGAACTCAGACTTGTGTATCTAACAGCCCACTTGATATCTCCAGCTGACATGTGCAAAACTGAACAATTTTTATTTCCTCTAAAGTCTGCCTCACCCACAGCCTCTACACCTGTCAGTTGATGGAGACTCCATCCTTCTAGCCTCTCATTTCAAAACCCTTGGAATAATCATTGGCTCTTCAATCTTATGCCCACTATCCAGGGTGTTAGCAAATTCTATTGGCTCTACTTTCAGAATAAATCCAAAAAGGGTCACTTCTACCATTGGAATTGCTCATCATCTAAGCCACCAACATCTCTTGCCTGGAACACTGCCTAACCTCTTACGCTTGTATCCCTGCTTTGACTCATTCCCCCATCCTGACCCCCAGTCAGTTCTAATCACAGTAGACAGTGTATTCTTTGTGAAAAGTGTAAGTCAGTACATGTCACAATTCCCCACCGCCTCATGGTTCTGACATGGCCTTGCCAGATTTATCCTCCCTTAAACTCCAGTTTCAGCTCCTGCTTCTCTTCTTCTCCCTCACTTCATTTCATCCACTCAGACGTCCTTGCTATTCCTTTGCAATACAGGACATGCTCTCTCTTTAGGGCCTTTAGATGGAGTATTTCCTCTACCTGGGACACTATACTGCCAGATACTTGCATAGCTAACTCCTTTACCCTGATAAGGTTTTGCTCAAATGTTTCCTACTCAGGAAAGTCTACTCTGACACGTAAAATTACAACCTGCTGTTCCCCTTCTGATAATCCCAAACCCTCTTATTCTGCTTTCCTATTTATCTTTTCCAGAGCACTTATCTCTTTCTAACATATAACAGAATCTGCTTATTTATATTTATTGCCTGTTTTCCATTTCAACTGTTCCATGAGGTTAGAGAGCTCTGCTTATATTGTTCACACAAGTTCCCCAAGCTTCTAGAATGAATCTTGGTAGTTACTTAATAAATATTTGCTTGATGAATTCTGTATGGATTGGTAAAAAAAGCTAATAGAATATGGTAGCATCATCTTTTTTATTTACAGCAAATTATATAACTTCTCTGAACTTTTGTTTCTTCAAATGTAAACAAATGATAGTATCTGTTCTACCTTACTTCTGGATCAATATGAGAATTTAATACTAATTGTCTTTCCAGTGGGTTTCAGCCCCAGACAAGTTCACTATGGATTCAATAAGACCAAAAAAATAACAATGGAATGTTCTTGGGGTGAAAGGGTTTATACTCAACTTTATTCCCATAGTGTCAGGTCAATCTCTAGAATCCTGTGTACTCAGAGCAAGTCTGCATGCAGCAAGCCAACCTCTGCCTCTGGGCCTCTCTGTCCCCGCAGCTGTCTCAGTCTCTGTCCTCGGCAGTGCCACCACTCCAGCCTCTGCTCTTCTGCAGCCTTGCAGCCCTGCAGCTGTGGCATCATGTCACCCAGAGCACTGGGCAGAGCTCTTTATAGAGTCAGTAACGATGTATTGCCCATATGTGTGTAGTGAGCAGGGCCAGGTGAGAATCCTGGCCATAGGAACCTTCACTTTCTCCACCCTAATATTATTAATAGGTGGCAATTGATTCTTGCCCCTTCCCTGATATTTGGAACTACTGTTGTTTACTCTCAGAGAAAAAAAATCATTTGTAGGGGTAGAAGTTGGTGGAAGGGTAGGTGTATACATATACTTGTGGATTGCATATTATAGAAGGTGAATTGTTGAATTTCACACCTTGTTTGGAGTTGTAGTTCTGATGCTTGCCATCTGTGTGACTGTCAGTGAGTGGTTTATTTTCTGTGAGCTTCAGTTTTCTTATATGTTAGGGTTGAAAATACCTATCTATTTAGTTGGTAGAATGAAGTTATCTAGTGAATGTAAAGTATCAATTCACAGCTTGGTATCTATACTTAGTAATTACTGGTTTCTCTCATTAATATTTGTGAGGAAGGGGTATAAGGAACAGCATGGTGAACCAGTTCTGACTTTGGATGTGGCCTGCATGTGCAGAAAATGGAAGTTCGTATGATCAGGATCCCCACCTGGCCCTAAACTACTTGATGATGTAATTGGCCTAGTGCTAGGCTACTGCTTCCATACCCATAGACAATGAGCTATTATTGACTGAGTCACTATATAAAGAGCTCTGCCCAGTGCTGGGCAGAGGCAGAGATGGAGGTGAATTACAGACCTACAGACTGCTGGATGCAGAAGTGATTTTAGTGCTCGACCTACTGCCGAGAGAATAAAACCAGGTATAAACCCTTTTACCCCAAGAATGTTCCATTGTCATTTCTCCGTCTCACTGAATCCACAGTGAACTTGCCTGAGGCTGAAAACCTCAGATAAGACACCTGAGTTTCACTCATTTCTGAAAATCTAGACAAAATAATCATTATGATACTATATAAGACTTGATTCAGTGATGCATTGATTTTCTTTTTGTACCCTTCAAATAAATAACCTGATAGCCAAAAATGAAGTTAGAGCTTTTTTTTTTTGCATTTTGGATCCTGCAGTTCCAATCTCTGAAAAGATAACCTAAGGAAGGTTATGTACCTTTTTTCACTTTGCAGGCTATTTAAAAAACTTTTTAAGTGCCCTAGTATGTTGGAATGTTACAGTGTATGTCAGTCTTATCATATCCAACATCTTAAAAATTCTTCCAGTGGGAATTTCTCTGTGTGTCAGGTACTGCATTATAGTTCTTGTTAGCACTGTTTTGCTAACAAGGTTAGTTGATAATGGTGTCATTGATACTGTCCCTATGTAGTATTTTTAATAATTTCTACTTGCTTTCACATTTTATTGTAATACATTTTACATGCCATATTTTTTAATCCCTTGTTTATTATAAGGCTAAAGAGAATAAGTGATACATTTAATCAGCCAGTCAGCATTCAAATTATTTGCAGAGTTGGGATTAGAATCAAGGTTTCTGTTCAAAGATTATTTCTATTACAATGTGCTTTTCAGCTTTTGTAAAGGAGAGTATATGCTATCTATATTTTTTAACTTTTCTCTTTTAAGTGAAAATCTTGGTTTCATTGTTTATTTTATTTTTATTTAATTTTACTTATTTTTCGCTAGCTGGTAAGCAGACTTACAGGTTGTGGACATTACTTTTTTAAAAATATAAAAACAAATTTAAAGTGGCTACTTACTAGATTTCACCTTGGAAATGATGTCAATCCTTAGCTGACTGCATGCACTTTGAAGGAAATTACTAGCTGAGCTGCATTCTTAAAGGATTTTATGGTTTAACTCAGATACATTTAGCTCCCCTCCACCCTGCCTAGTTTTTTGGCTGTTTTAAAAACAGTTTAAATAGCCCTCTTCCTGGTATGATTCCAGTGCAGGAAAAGCAGAAGTTTTGCATTGGTAGCTTCTCAGGCTCCATCCAAATTCAAGGAGGCATTTTTTTTCATTAGGGCTCTGTTGAGAGCCTAGCTGTCTCCAACTCGCCTAAAAGCATCCCAGGTCAGTTATTGAATGCCCACCCAAGCCCAAAAAAGAAACCACGGGTGAGGAATGAACAGTGAAGGGTGCTGACAGAGCATACTTCTGTGTGTCCATCAGAGGCTGGGCTCTGGCCCATGGCTTTGGCCTAAATAATGTAGAATTTCCAGATAATGATATCATCATTCTCCTAACCAGGCAGAAATCTTAGAATCTCTGAAACTCATCTTTCTGGGATTTTTTTCCTCCCATTAAAAAAAAATCAATATATGATGTAAATATAATAATATTCACCCCTTTTACTTTACAGTTCTTTGAGTTTTAGCAATACATACAGTCAAGTAACTACCACCACGATGTTGAAAATTTAAAACTATTGTATTAACCCTCCCAAGTCTCCCTATGACCCTTTTCATTGAACCTTTCCCTCTATCCTCAGCCCCCAACAAAAATCTTTGGCAAAGTGGTTGTTCAAATATTTTGCCTATTTTTCAAAACTTGGATTGTTTTCTTAATGAATTTTGAGAGTTCTTTACATATTGTGGATAGAGGTCCACAGGTATTATCATATATGTGATTTGCCAATGTTATTCCCTAGTCTGTGGCCTGTCTTTCCATTTGCTTAACAGTTTCTTTGAGGAGCAAAATTTTAAAATTTTGATGAAGTCTGATTTATTGGTTTTTTTCTTTTGTAGGTTGTGCTTTCAGTGTTGTATCTAAGAAATCTTTGTTTAAAACCTAAGGTCATGAAGATTTTCTCTTACATTTTCTTATAGAAGTTTTATATTTTTACGTTTTACAATTAGGTATGTGGCCCATTTGGTTTATATATATATATGAAGTGAGGTCTAGATGAAGGGTCTTTTTATTGTATATGTGTTTTTTAAAAAATATAAATACCAGTCATTCTGGTAGCTTTTATTGAAAATACTATCTGTTGTATTGCCTAATTCTTCATAACATTCTTTTGAAGTTCTTTTATTATTACAATTTTATAAATGAAGGCTAAGGCTTAGAGAAGTTAAGTACTTGAATGCATTCTGAAGTATGCACTGAGCCTATTT